TCAGCGGGCTTTTAGGGTACTTGCCAAACTCTATTGCTCTCTCTTTCTTTCCTGCAACTTCTTTTACATCGATATTAATTAATGAGCAAATTCTTGGCAGGGGTACGATATCGCAAAATCTGTATCTATCATGTGTTCGTATTACATCTGCAACCTTTGCTTCAGCAATGACTAATCTCATACCGGCAATCACATTTATTTTGGCAGTCCTATTCAGGTCCCTCATCCTCTTACACTAGGAAGCTCACAATTCTACACATCTCTGCTTGCTTTTACCGAATGCTTGTGTTTACAGATTGGAGAGTTTAGCTGTTCTTACTGTGTCTGGGCAAGCCAAAGCTTTAGGAACACTTACAGGCGTTGGTGGCGCCATGCTCCTCACCTTTTACAAGGGAGCAACCATTAATCTCTGGTCCACACATATCGATCTTCTCAGGTCTCATAACGATGAAGGAGGAGCTCAACCACAACCTCAACAGGCCTCGGGCAACCATGTCATGGGCTCGTTGTTTGCGGTCATAAGCTGCTTATCCTACGCGATGTGGCTGATCATTCAGGTGAGGTGACAAAAGATACGAGTTGCGAGTTTGTTTAGATGTATGATTGAGAGCTTGCTGTTGCAGACAAGGATGAGCAAACAATACCCTTGTCATTACACGGGCACAGCGTTGTTGTGCTTCATGGCAGCAGCGCAATCTGTAGTTTATGCCCTCTGTGGAGATAGAAGTATGAGCAGCTGGAGAATGCGGTTGGATGTGAGGCTTCTTACGACAATCTACTCCGTAATTTCCTCTCGTGACTCCTCTTTGTTTATTTGATATCGTAAGCTATACATATATATATATATATATACAAGGTTGATGGTGATGGTGATGATGGTGCAGGGTGTGGCGGCATCAGGGATAATCCTCATAGTATTGAGTTGGTGCATCAAGAAAAGAGGTCCTCTGTTTGCGTCCATATTTAACCCTTTGATGCTTATCATTGTGGCTCTCCTGAGCACGTTTCTCCTGAATGAACAGTTGCACCTCGGAAGGTAATTCACATAAATTTACATCTAGAAAAATCTGCAATATATAAACCTATAATATTCTTGATGTTGTCGCAGCGTGATTGGATCAGCATTAATCGTGGCGGGGCTTTACGCAGTGCTTTGGGGTAAAAGCAGAGAGGCAGCCAAAGTGGAGGAGTCGCCACCGGAGCTCACAGACGTCTTCGTCGTTGATGCCAGCAACGCCACTGGGTACCAAGAGAAGAAACCATCCGCCCAAATAGGAAATGTACAGACTTAGAGCCAAAGAGTCTCTTTTTTTTCTTTTTTCTTTTATTTTTGTAAGTCCTCAAAAATTAGACACATCATTGTTATACTGAATACTATTATTGGAGGAACTCCCAAAAAAATATTAATCGAGTTATTGGACTGTTGAGCTCATTAAACATGAGGTTAATTGAAATATCTCGAGGAATGTTATATAATAAAAGACCGACCCATTAATTACCATTGATAACTTTCCAAAGATACACCAAACACACCAAGACAGGTTCGAGGACTCCAAACACAAATGATCGGACGATGATCATGCCCTCTCACCGCGGATCCGACGGGCGAGCTGGATGTCCTTGGGCATGATGGTGACCCTCTTGGCGTGGATGGCGCAGAGGTTGGTGTCCTCGAAGAGACCGACGAGGTAGGCCTCGGCCGCCTCCTGGAGGGCCGCGACGGCGGAGCTCTGGAAGCGGAGATCGGTCTTGAAGTCCTGCGCGATCTCGCGGACAAGGCGTTGAAAGGGCAACTTCCGGATGAGCAGCTCCGTGCTCTTCTGGTACTTGCGGATCTCCCTCAACGCCACCGTCCCGGGGCGGAAACGGTGGGGCTTTTTTACGCCGCCGGTTGCGGGGGCGGACTTCCTCGCCGCCTTCGTCGCCAGTTGCTTCCGCGGCGCCTTGCCGCCCGTGGACTTCCGTGCCGTCTGCTTCGTCCTGGCCATCTCGCAGGGCAGAGAGAAAGGATTACGAATCAGTGGGAGGGGAAACAGATCGGAGATTGAGATTGGTGTGGCAGAGAAGCGGGGTGGGATTTAAATAGAAAGGGAGGGAGAGGCGGGATTCGGAATTAGCGTAGTTTTCCGGGCGTGCCGCGCGAATTAGAGCGTCGGATCGGTGAGAATGAGCGGTGAGGATGCACTGAGGTGGGAGCACGCGGATCGGGATCCGTGGCTCATCTTGCAGACTCTTCTCGCGTTACCACGTGGTCACTCGCCTTCTCTCGCGGCCCCTCGACTTGCCATCACGTGGCTCCTTGATGCCTTCTCCAAGTACCTTGCTCGCACGTGCGCTCATACCTGGTTAACGTGACGTCACCGAATTGACTCAGTTGACTCGGAGTACGCACTCATCCCGATCCATTGACAGGCCCAATTGTAGCAAAGCCCATATGAAGAAACTACAAGGAGACCTACCTAAAATCTATACGCCACATCTATATATTTTATCTGCTAAAAAAAATGTTAGAAAATGATTTTACAAAAGATTCAAAATTATTTCTCCAACTTACAGTAACCAAAATCTGATTTGCATAATTGGTCTCGTATGTCATATTATGCATAATACTATTATATTAATTCGATGGAAATAATCTGTGAAGCTATTATATAGTAAATTTAGTGTTCTCTTGGCTCTATGAGACTAAATTATTTAAAGATTTTATAATCTGCTCAACTTAAAGAGCTCATCATAGACCAATGTAGGACAGTATCAAATGACAAACATGATACCAAACTCAAGATGACTTTGTTATTTGTCATATTCAATACTAATGAGTCAAGTTCTTGATAATATATTGATTAGTCATTATAAATTAACTTAGATGGAAGGTGATAACTGATGAAAATAATAGAAGATAAAAATAATTATTGAAGAAGCTTTATTGATGAAATGAAAATGTTAGGAGAAAGGATTTCCTCTAATCTTAAGAGCAGATCGTTGCTACTGTTGCAATTGCTGTTGCTATGAGGGCACATGTGTTGGCTGGCCGAAGACAAGAGCGACGTTGGTCGGTCGAAGACAAGAGCGAAGCTTTATTAAAGAAATTAAAATACTTCAATACATTATGTTCCCTCTCATATTTATACAAATTAGGAGAAAGAATTTTTTTCAATAGAAGATTTTTCTTAAATATTTCCTCGTATACTCGTAGAAATCTTATCTTCTATCAATTATTCAAAATACTAAGTTCTTCGTAATATATTGATTAATCCTTAAAAATGAAAGAGCTACGGCGATGACGTATTTTATCTGTCGGATTTAATGCTGGAATCAATCATGTCTGTCGTGGTCAATGCTCAACTTTGTTTCTCTCCCTCTCTCTCTCTCTCTCTCTCTCTGGTAAAATGATGCATTTGACCGCTTGAGGCCGTGAAAGATAACATGGAACGATAGACAAGTGATTGGAGGTTCGTGGGTGCAGACGACATTAATTGAGAACATACGACAAGATGTTATCCTCATTGACGAGGTAGGGCCCGCACTCTTGTACCGATGCTTTGCATCACATAATATATCTTATTCCTTGAACGGGTCTTCTCATTATTTCTCTTTACCACCTTATGATCATTGGATTCGATTTAAGTTTCTCGAGATACATAAGATCTACGTATGAGAAGTGATGAATCATGCTTGTGATTACCTTTTCTGCAACATGTCGGAATGGAATCCCATGTTGATAGATAGAGCTATGAGTGAGACATCAGAAACATCAACTATTTTCTTTTTATATATATACATACATATATACATATTTATCCAGAATTAATTATTTTGAAGGAAAAAAAAAACATAAAAATTGAAATGTTTCTAACATTCTTATAGTCGTAATGTGATTCTTTAAATGTATTGATACAATTAGAATGCTAAATAACTTCAAATTATAGTTAATCAACCAAAATCAACTTAAAAGATACATGTGTTAAACTTAAGTTTAGTGAGATAAATTTCAAATTTCATAAAATTTTTATATGTAATTTTTCAAGTATGTATGTATATATATTATGATCCAGAAGCATCTCTTGCACACAAAGATCTTTCAAGGATTTACGTTACCCCACCCACCCTTTGTTTTGGTGTTACCAACCCTCGCACAAACGCTGAGAAAGAGGACAATACTAACGACAGGGATAGGGATCAATTAAACCAGTGTCAGTGGACTTGTGATGACAGCACACACAAAAGCCAAAAGCAAAATAGCAAAGGTAATAATTGGCCAATTCTTTGTACGTACAAAAATATAATATAATCTTCTAACATTATTCTTATTTTTAATACTAAGCCAATAGTTTTCTCCTCTTAATCAAACATAAACTATCAATCTAACTAATCAGATTTAAAAGAATGTATTATGTATGATTATAGGCAGGTTGGCTAGATGAGTCTAAAACAAATCAAATAGATATAAATAAGATAATATTTTTTTAAGTTCAAATTGTCATTCTTAGCTTGTAAATAGGCGTGTAGATCATAAGAACATAGTTCCCAAATAATCAAGTTTAGAATCGGTGTTTAAAGTCATTAAACATTTTCAAAAAGTAAAACTCTTTTCATTGAACCATATAAATCCATGTGATTCAGTAAAAATATCTCTTGGATTTTGCGAGTGAGGGAGATGAGTAATGTCTCGTTCGATCCCCTGTGCGGTGCCACAAAACACTCGATGTCTGCATGGTTTTCTGCGTCAATCACGTACGCACCCAGGGCTTGCAGTCTCATCAATGCGTTGACGCGAAGAGTACGTGGATGCTATTTGTTTCATGTTTCGTAGGCTTTCTTTATCTTTTTGGTGGTGTAGTGCGCTACAAATGAGTACGGAGTTGGGACCAACGAGACAGTCGATCATGTTGCATGATCATCTTAAGTCACCATCCATCACCGTTTCAGCTCATCCCGTTCTACACCCTTCTCACCCAAGTTGGGATCTTTATTCGCAAGATGAGGACAAGACCAGCGCAAAATACCAAAGGCTTTTCTCAAAAGAAGTACTCGACGAGGAAGTCTAGAGCACACTTTTATTTCGATCTTACATTCCTACTTACGACTCAGCAATGCATACACTCGAAACATAAGCTTAAAACACGAACAAGCAGGCGCTTGGGTTGCACAGTAGCTTGCATGTTCCACTTCTTACGAGAGCAAACCCTACGACGATGATGGTTGGTGGTGATCGTCCTTCGTGCTCCCTGCAAAACAAATAGTGGAAGTGTTAGCTGTTGTCTTCGTTCATAATCAAAATGCAGTAAGCTCACTAACCCTTTCCGGCCACCGGCTCTAGTGGTAACGAGGAGGAGGAGGAGGTGAAGCGTATATATGGGATGGAGGGAGTGGTGGCTTGTGGTGAGACGGAGGTGGTGTTTTCTTTTTGTAGGTATGAGGTGGTGGCGAGTTGTGAACTGGAGGAGATGAAGGAGGTGATTTGTGATGATATGGAGGAGGAGGACGTGGTGGTGGAAGCAATGGTGGCTTGTAGTGGTGGGTAGGTGGAGGTAGTGGCGGGTTGTAAACTGGAGGAGACGAAGGTGGTGATTTGTGATGATATGGAGGAGGAGGTGGTGGTGGTGGAAGCAAGTGGTGGCTTGTAGTGGTGGGTAGGTGGAGGTG